GTGAGGTGGAATCTTAGTGTTGTTTTCATCTGCATCTCTTGAATAATCAATGATGTTGAAAAATTTTTCATATGATTATTTGCTATTTCTATTTCTTTGTTTCAGAAATGTCTGTTAATTTCAGATGCCCATTTTTGAGTTGGGTGTTTCAATTTGGGATGCCTCCTTTTTAAAAGTTCTTTTATATTTCAGATAGTAGACTTTTGTCTGAGGAACAGCTGGTGAAAAGTTTTTCCCACATTGTGGGCACTCTCTTCACACTATGGGTCCTTTTTCCTGCTGTGTAGACGCTTTTTAGTAAGAAGACATCCCACTTGTTCATTGTGCTGCTTCATGGGTGACTGAGGTTATGTTCATGAAATCTTTTGCTACATCCATATTTTCAAGAGTTCTACGTAACCTCTCTTCCAGGGGGTTTAGTGTTTTGTTTTAATATTTAGATATTTAATCCACTTTGATTTGAGTTTAGTGCATGATGAGAGATAGAGATCTAGTTTTAATCTGTGGCAAGTTGAAACCAAGTTTTTCCATCACCATTAAAGAAAGAGGCTATCATTCTTCCAATGAGGGTGTTTGGCTTGTATGCCAAAGATGAGGTGTCTGAGTGTTTCTAGAGTTCATTCTGCATCTTCTACTCTGTTCCACTGGTCCTCAGATCTGTTTTATTGCCAGTATCATGCTATTTTTATGACAGTACCTTTGCAGTACACTTTAAAATAGGCGATTGTGATTCCCCCTACCTTGTCTTTATTGTCTAAAATTACTTTTGCTATTGCAGGTCTCTTCTTGTAACAGATAATGTTTGGATTATTTCTCAAGGTCTGTGAAGTATGCTGTTGGGATTTCAATTGGGATGGCAATGAATCTATAGAGCAGCTTTTGAGGTATGGCCATTTTCAATATGGTGATTCTTCCTACCCAGGAGCAAGCGATGCCTTTCCATTTTCTGGTAGTGTCTTCAACTTCTTTTTTCAGACTATTGTTGTTTTCAAAATAGAGATTTTTGATTTCTTTCATTTTATTGATTCCTAGGTGTTTCATTTTTTGGATGCTATTCTGAAAGGAGTTGTTTTACCAGTACCTCTCTCAGTGAGTCTGTTGTTCATGCACAGGAAAGTTATTGACTTTTATCATTGTGCTTGTATCTATCTACTCTATTGAGTTTGATGATGACGTCTAGAAGCTGTTGGGTGGAGTTCTTGGGTCTTTTATATAGAGAATCGCAGTAGTTCCTTGAAGGCCTCCAGGTTGAAGCCACCACCGTGGAAGATCTTCATCTGCTTGACAGTGGTGCCCTGGCCTGAGTTATGTGTATACAGCAGGAGGAGCTTTAACGCAGGGTGCTGCAGCTGGCTTTCTGTGTGCGGTGTGAGTTGATTCTTTGGGACCTCTAGGATAACTCGTTTTCCACTGAATGTTGCTGATCTCCCATGGCCTGATGCAGCAGCCCCAGATATGGAGCACAGGTGGGGGCCTCTCCCTCTCACCACAGCGCAGGGAAGGCCGCAATGAGTGTTCCTGAAATATGGACCAGTGCAGGCAGGAGACAAGAATTGGCTGTCCTGGGAGCACTTGGCTGCCATGGCACCCTGCAGCCTCTGCCTTAGTCCTCTTCTCTAGCTTGCATGGTGCTTCGTGCAGTGGGGCAGTGTCTGCACCCTACCCTCTAGGGACACTGCATCTCCCTAGTCAGCTGCATGGTCGGATTTGCTGTAGTCATTCTCTATCCTGAGTGGGATGATGTTTCCTTGTGACTGCCTAGGCTGTTGCCCCCTGCTTGCTGCTTGCTGTGCCCATGTTGCTAAGCATGGCCGGAAGGCCCTGTGCTCCCTCTGGCCCCCCTGCCTCATACATGCAGCCATGCCCAGCACTTTGCCAGGCCAACCACTACTGTGTAGATTTATTTTAATCATAGCAAATTGAAGTTCTGTATGTCTTACTCATCTGTATGTGAAATTCTTTTCCCATGCTTGAGAAGTTTGCTGTCACAACTTCTGTGAACAGGATTTTTATGTTATTGGTGCTGACTCCTGTTTTTCATGGGCTCCACTGAACTTTATATTGTTTTCTTTGCATCATCTTGCAGCCCATGTTCCCTTGTTATTCAAGAGATCTTTCTTTTTGTCATAGCTGTCTGCAATCCTGTCTTCATGTTCTGATATTCTATCTTCGCATTCATTTATTAGGTTTCACAGATGTTCAAGGAAACTTTTCATTTCCTGACTAACTGTCTCAATCTGCTTCATGGATTGAATTTCTTTTCTCTGTGGCACATTCATGGTTTCCATCATTTTCCTAAGCTCCTCTATTTTTCAAAAATACGTGTCTACTCTGGATTTGCAAAGCAAGTCCTCAATAATGTTCATCATTTCTTTTTTATCTGACAGATTACTTCTGATTTGCTTTTCGCCATAGCCTCATCCAACATTTTTTCTTTTACTTCTGCTGTTATCACTGCAGAAAGTTCAAATGGGTGACATCTGATTTCCTCCATCTCATTGTCCTTATTTGTCTTGTGTGGCCTGGAGGTCTGGAGATCCATTTTGCTTCTGTGGCTTGTCATTTTATAGTATTTTAATTTTATTTTGTTTTCTGTGTTGTTCCTTGTATTTTTCTTATGTCAGGTAGCTCTGTTAATGGGACTGAGGCTTCCCTAGGAAATGTCTATTACTTAGAGATGTCTTCTATGTGTAGCTTGCTCTTGGTCTTCGTGTCATCTCAGAATCCTACTTTCCCACTCTATTAGTGATGAGAACTTGCTATCTACTTGGAGCAGGATCCCCAGGCTTTTGGTACTGGTCTATGTGAATGGTTATGACCCTAGTTAATCATAGTGTGGTCACACTACACTGAAAAAATTGAGTATAGCAGTTAAGTTATCCTGAGTATATCAGATAGAGTAGTGAAATTGGCAATAGCAATATCATCTTGCATATCCTAGAAACTGACAAAATGTGGAAACTGTAATTTTGGCATCTCTAATTACAGGAAGAACATGTACAGTTCTATAACAAAAATGAACACAAACCAGGAACTTGTATGCAGTGAGTTTCACCTTGACAGAGCAATATTATCTTGTGTATGTTTCGCTATTGAAGAATGATAAGGGAAAAGCACAGTTATAACTGAAGAGATATAGAATAGATGCAAGACTGAAAGACAATGGATGATCACCCATCCTGTTGGAACCTGGAAAAGAACACAGAGAAAATGAATGAAGGAGAAAGGAAAATAATATCAAAGTGAACTAGAAAGGCTAGCACCAATGTTCATTCATGAGAAAATATAAAAAAGAAATCAAGAGAGGCTGTAAAGGAAATAGAGAAACAGGATGGACAAGAGAAATAAAACAATAACATGGAAAACTTAAACCTCCAAAAGAAAAGATCTGACAGTAAAGGAAAAATGAAACAACTTAATAAATGAAGAAAGGGAAAAACTTTCACTGGTGCCCCAGTTCTGCAGTAGTGTCCACCTTAGGGTCCAAATATTGCTGGGCCACACCACTAAGTCTGCAGCAGGATTATTGCTGAGTGTGGTGTTAACTTCACTTCCAGATGTAGGGAATGGGCCCAGAGTCTTCAGTCAGCAGCTTTGTGGATGACCAGCCCATCCTCGTTTCCTGTGTGTCTCTGCATTGCTCCCCCAGATGCTGTGGTGCTCTCAGATAGCTGTTCCCAACCCTGAGTGCAGTTGGCTCCTTCTGAACCTTGCACAGCCTTCTCTGTTTCACCCCACTCAGTCCTCTCAGGCCCTCCTTGTAGGGCAGGGGAGCCATGACCTGGCCGTGCTTGCTGCATCGCTACCCAAGGTCACTTGTACCACAGGTTACCCAGTAGGGGAAGTGCAGAATTCCCACTTTCCATCATGCCACTGGCGGAGGCTACTTGCAGTGTTGCAGAGCAGGAGGACTTTTTCTCTCTTTGGTAGTTAGGGCTAGGATGCTTCTGGTAGCCACAGGAGTGGAGTCTGGGGCATTCCAGGGTTTATACCTCAGCTGAGTTTCCCCACTATGCTGTCCAATCTTGGGCACTCCACTGTGACTGGATGATCCTTCCCTCCTTCCACTCAGGCACTTTAGGGGTGAGGCAAACCTGGGGCACTTCTACAGCCAGTTTGAGCCCTGAGCCCTTGGACATAAAATGCAAATCCACCTCCTTATTGCTGCTCCACATGACTGTGAGCCAGGGCACAGCTTCACCTCACTCATCATCCACTGACTCTGGAAAACATCTTGGCCCAGGTCAGGGTTCCATTTCTCAGGGAGGAGCAGAGTTGGTTTTGCTGCCTGCCCACCTCCAGTACACTGTGCTGTCTCTATTCTGTGGTGCTGAGATATCTGTTCTGCAGGAATGAGTCCTAGTATTTCTCCTCTGTTTCTTGTCTCACGCTTATCATGTCACCTCCACTCACTTTGGTTCCTCTCCAGACTGCTGTTTTCCAGACACTTGGCACTTTGTTCCGGAGAAACTGAGTTGCTGGCACTCACCACTCTGTCATTTTCTCCTACAGTTGTAAATTCATATAATACATATTAATTCGTTTTTATATGACTAAATTTCCCTCTAATATGCACTAAGTGATACAGTTATGTCCCAGTCTATGCTTTAACATAGCCTCATAGCATTGCCTGGGCCCCAGGCTGTGCACCACCCAGGTTTGCATCTAGATGTTACCCACTGCATCATACACTATATCTGGGATATTTCAGAGCTGGTGAATCCAGGGTGTGTGATGCTGCACTTAAGGATGTGTGGTGCTAAATGAGTACATTGACTGGAACTAGCATAGTTCTGAGCATGAAGGGATTCAATAAAGTCTGAAGCCTCACCCTGGGTGTGAGTGGCAACACCCCAAACGTTTTAGCCTGCATGGGATGGAAAATAATGGTTACACAACCTGAGGCCATGCAAATAGGACCTCTGTCTGCTGATAAAAGTAGCCCAGCCCTGACCCTGAAGCTCTGCAGAGGAGCCCAGCCCTAGATGCCCAGCTGTTTCCACTCAGTGATCAGGACTGAGCATAGGCGGCTCACCATGGAGCTTGTGCTGAGTTTGGCTTTCCTGGTTGCTCTTTTAAAAGGTAACTAATGAAGAATTAGAGATCCTTAGTGTGTGTGTGGATGAGAGTCAGATAAACAGTGGTCATGTGTGATATCCTCCTGAGCAGGATGTTTTTCTGTTTGCAGCTGTGCAGTGTGAGGTGCAGCTAGTGGAGTCTGGAGGAGGCTTGGTGCAGCCTGGGGGGGGGTCCCTGAAACTCTCCTGTGTGACCTCGGGATTCACCTTCAGCGATTACTACATGGAATGGGTCCGCCAGGCTCCAGGAAATGTCCCAGAATGGGTTGCTGTTAGTAGAAACAAGGCTAATAGTTATACAACAGAATATGCTACATCTGTGAAAGGCAGATTCACCATCTCCAGGGATGAGTCCATAAACACACTGCATCTGCAGATGAACAGCCTGAAAGTTGAGGACACAGCCGTGTACTACTGTGCTAGAGACACAGTGAGGAGACCTCAGTGTGAGCCCACATGCAAATCTCCCTGCTGGGGTGCTCAGCACCAGCAGGGGTCGCACAGGTCACACTGAGCTCATTGTCAGCCCAGGACAGTTGCAGAAGGTGGCCCAGTGCGATTTCCTGTCAGGATCTGAAACTTCCTGTTCATGTGACATATTCCCCAGGAGATTCTGCATTCATGACTCTAAATTTTCATGTTCCTGAATTAAATTTGATTCCATAGTGCAATTAGCTGTTTTTCTTTTGATGCTGAGATCAAATACTAAACAACCATAGTTAAAGCAGAAGAATTCTGTGCCTTACAGTTGGTACAGGTTTTAGTCCTTAACTGGCTGTCTCCAATGGAGAGTGGCACTGGGACAACATTTTATGGTGAAGGAAGCTGACTAACAGCATCTTTCTGCCTCTTTTAACCCATCCCATCCCAGACTACCAGATTAGGACAGTGCTTGAAAATCACTCACATGTAGTGGTTTAGTAATCAGCACCCTTTATCCCATTACCACACACTCCAGATTCAGCCATCTCTGAAGAAGGAAGCCCCTCCATATCAAGATGAGGCTTTGTGGGGACACCTAAACACAAGCTGTAACAAAGAGTGAGAAGCACTGTGTCCTCATAGTACACAGGTTCAAATGTCCCTTTTGAAGGCAACATGACTCGTTGTGGTGACCAGGATCAGATCCTGAGGGCACACAGTCAGTATGTCATACATTTTTTTATGAAAAACACACTTCAGTGATATTCTCTGTTCACTACCCATCCTTATTTTTATTCTCCTTTTCTTTTTTTTTGTTATCTATTTCCTTGATATGGAAGACAATAGAACTAAGTAGATCCCTGCCTGATGACTATGTAAAAGCCTGAACTACTTAGGTAATGTTGTTGTGGCTATGACCCAGATCATGGTGCAATCAGCACTGTCCCTTGCAGAATCCCCCAGAGCACATGTTCCATGATGAACTCGACCTGCAGCATCCTCTTCCGGATGGCTGTGGCTACAGGTAAGGGAGTCCTGTCTCAGGGCTGAAGAGGGGTCTACAGCCTTTCCCAGATCATTGCTTTGGTGCCTTCTCCTCCCCAAAGGTTTCCATGACCAAAGGAAGCTTCTGCAACCTGGAGCTGAGATAAGTACACCTCAGGCATCAGAAAAAAGTCTGCTGCAAGGCTCTGGCTACACTTTCACCAGCTACTTCATGAACTTGGTGAGACCACACCCTGGGCGGGGGTTGGAGTGGTTGTCATGGAACCACTTTGGTCATTGTGACACTAAGTGCGCTCAGAAGTTCCAGGGAAGGGTCAGCTTCAATGCAGACCCCTCCTCCAGCACAGCCTAAATTCAGCTGAGCAATTTGAGGTCTGAGGACACAGTCGGGTATTATTGTTCAAGACACAGAGAACTGACCCTCATCCTGAGTGTGTTAGCACCCCAGGGAGGACCAGCTGCCCTGGCAGTGACACAATAGTGAGGACGCGGCTGAAGAATTGCTCAGAAAACTGAGTGAAGTAACTGATGGCAGGTGTAATAGACAAAAGTATGCATCATAGTTTTATGGTAAAATATCCACGAGGCAGTCACCCTACATACAAAATACAGAGGAAAGAAATCTTCCATGTGAGAAGGTTTTCATAAGCAGTACTTAGAAATCATTTGTGTTGACACATATTTCAAATCTTTTGTATAATCAGCTAGAAGTAAAGTTCTTCATATGAGAATGCTATGTTTAATTTCTAACAAATGACCTGAATCTCTCCTGGAATGTCTCTGACATTTCTCTTCAGCAAAATTTAGTTGTAGTTCAGGTTTATATTCACAGTAAAATACAGAATAATGTGTAGCGACTTCCTGTGAATCTCTTGCCCTAGCAAACACAACATACCCAGTCTACGGCGCCCGGCCCTCCTGTCCTGCTGTGTTCTGCAGGGTGAACACCTGTGACGCATAAACTCCCAGAATCATGGCTCTCATATGAGTTCAGTTCTGACCTGTGAGTTCTGTGGGTTTGGACAAATGCTTTATGACACTGCTCCACCATGGCTGTCTGCGTGTCCAACTCTCTAAGGTGTGGGCCTGATGGACCCTGAGTACAAGGGTCCGTGCAGAAAGTTGAGTGATGGAGTCTCCAACAGGAGTCTGCAAAGCTGAGCGCCTTGGGGAGTCCAGGTGGCAGGGCTGGGTCTGTGCTCCTCTCTAAGAAATGTTTGTCCTCCTCTGTAGCAAAGTGCCTGACCTTCATCGACTCAGTCCTGATTCTTCCTTCCAGGCTTCTCCAGACTTCCTAGTTGTGCTATAAGCGATCTTCACCCTGTGGGGAGAGCTGGAGGGGCTGAAACTGGTGGAAGCCTCCTCACGAGATGTATGAGAACATAGGTTTCAGCCCAGTGGAGTGAGCCCCTTGGATCCTTCTGTACCGTTGCTATCTTCACCTCCATAATCTTCTCCCAAAATGCAGGAATCATTTGTGCTCCTCTCTACAGGGACTCTGTCCTGCTGCACTTACCTTCCTCAGGACTTGTTTTGACCAATATTTTGTTCCTAGATTTTCTAAATTATGGGTATGTGAATGGTTGTGTAAATATATTTTTTGATGAAAGACACATTTCCATTTTGTCATGTGTCCTAGACAAGCGTTGTCATTTATATCTTTATTGCATTTTGGATGGTTTGATATTTGGTTCTATTTGAAAAGATCTTGGGAATCCTCACTACATGTTCTTTAATATTTAAGGAAACATCAGATTCATTTTCCTAGTCTTGGCTTGTCTTTTATTCCCTTCATTGTATTTTTAAAGGAAAAAATAACTTACTGATGCTGCAATATTTTATTTTTATTTTGCAGATGTTAACTGATATTTTGTAAGTTATGCCTAGAGTTTAATGTTTAGAATGGAACATAAGAAGGAGACATAAAAAGTTTTCTCTTCAAAATTTTTCTCTTAAATTTTTCTCGTAATACATATGAATTTTTTGCAAAATTCAAACAATTGCAACGTTCACCAAAAATGGGTTAATGGTGATGTCAATTTTGTATTTCATTGAGGGTTAGCGATTGCGTGATCTTTCTCTTGTACCTGTTCACCATTCATACACCTCTGCAGAGAAACATCTGTCAAATATTAGGCAGTTTTCAAAAGGAATCAATTGTTCATTCATTTCTGGAAACCAAGGTGAAATTTTCTTTTAAATTAGATGTTGAAATTTTGTTAGATAGCTGACATGTAAATATTCTCTCCGTTTTACAGATATCCTTATGATGTTGTTGCTTATTTCCCTCTTAGAAAAAACAGAGTTAAATTTTGTGCAGTGTGATTTTCCTTTTTCTGATTTTGTTGCCTCCACTGTTTAAATTTAAAATTCATGGAAAGAATCAATGTTAAGGAGATTTCCCTTTTTGTTGTAAAAGTCTCATAATATTTTTCCACATTTTATTTAATTCATTTTTTATTAAATTTCTATATTGTATGCCACAGTTTCAACTATCATTCATTTGCATATATTATCCAGTTATATCAAAACCAGTTATTAAAGAGACTTCTCTTTCCCTAAATTTACTCTTTCTTCTCTATTGAAGTTTTTGGACCTTGTGAATCTGGAATTGTTTTGTGTTCTCTGGGCTTTTTCACAATGGATGCAACCAGTAGAATTCTGTAAAATATGTACAATTATGAATCAATCACTGAATGAAATTTTCATAACAGCAGTAACATAGCCCTCACAGTTCTTGACAAATGTGACAATTTTTTCAATTATAGGGTTTATTTTATTTTCCCTACCATGCTATGATACCATTTAATAACTGCTGTAGTATCTTTTAAGGGTTAACATAATAACTTACATTACATGGCATATTAGCGTAATCACGTTCATAATTAATATTGCCTTGGTTCCCATTATTCATTAGCAGAAAAATGTGGGTTCACCTCCAATAACTTTATGATGAGCTGTAGCTGTAAGTGGCATGATCCGTTGAACTTATTAGGTGAATCAGGTGAGTTGAATGAATTCTGTTGGAAACAAACTTCACAGACATCAGATGCAGAACTGAGCATCTCATGCACATCTTTATCAAGACAGAGTTCTGGTCCATAGTGCCTGGGTTAGCCTCCTGTCTACACCACTTATTCCCCAAAGGTCTAAGCATATCCCATAAATTCACTTTCCACAATGTGCTACTGTGGTGTAATAACATTGCTAAGACAGCGAGTGTGTGGTAGAAATGCTGCAGAACACACATTGTGTGACTCAGTAAACAAGAGTGGAGTGTGGCCCACGGTTACAGCTGTGGACTGAGCAGCATTGCTGTTGATCCTGTTCTTGGTGACTCTGCACTTGATGAGGAAGCCCAGAAGGGGGCAGCACTGCAAAATTCAGGAGAGGAAGGAGGGCCCACTGTTGGCTGCCACCTGCAGCTGTCCTACTGTGAGGCTCAACTTTCCCCTGCCCACTGGACCACGGTATTGGAGTCTGCTCAAGTCTAGGTCCTGACTGACGTCCTGCTATATCAACCGAGTCAGAAGGACCCTTTCGTACTAACCAGCCCCTCCAGCTGCATCTCCCACCTTCTGTTAATGAGCATTATCTTGAATATAGTCCAGGTAGCTTCATGGGATATGGATCAATACGGAAGAGATTCAGTTAAAGGTGTTCTCAGGAGCAGCCATGAGGGACATTAGGGCAGTAGGTCAGGGGCAGGGAAGGGACCAGACCATGGCAACATTTCTGAACATCTGCACAGAGCAGCCCGATTCTGCTCCCAGAAGAGCTGGAGAAGAGAAGAAGACTTGGAGTTTCATCCCTGAGACAGAGTCTGAGATTTCACCCGGTCAACCTCAAAGGTGTGGAAAGATGCTTCCTTACACAGAGGATGGACATCGGTCCTGCTGGCTCCCCAGGACATGTAGGGAGGCTTCCTCAGCCCGAGTGCATTTGCCAAACGGATCCAGTGGGATCTGCACACAAAAGAAAACATGCGGACCCCATTGGGTTCCAAGTACTTTAACAAGGAATACAAGGTCCTCTACTATGTCTCCTGAGCTCTGAGCAGGTAGAACGCTGTGTACACTGTCCTGA